CTGGGTTCACTATAGCTCTGGGAATGTTAGCCAGATCAGTTAGGCAAGAGAAGGAAGTGAAAGGGACATGCAAGGGAAAGGATGAAGTTAGATTATCATTATTCACAGATGACTGGGCCTCTGCATAGAAGACCCCAAAACAGTTGTGAAATGTTCGCTGGGCGTTCAGCTAGCTATGCGTTTTTCCATACATGTTTCCACAGAGGTGGCAAAACAGTACTCTAGCGGCTTCTAGTTACACTTGGGAGATGTGATGTCTTGGAGTCCACACTGCACGGTGCGTGGAGGAGGAGGGCCCGCTGTCCTAGTCAGGGTGCAGGGGCTGAGGGCGGAAGTGACCCTGCTCCCAGCAGAGGAAGTGAGGATGCCTCACTGACAGAGCCGTTCCCAGACTCCCACCGGCAGGTTAAGCAGCCTGCTCTTCCAAAGCGAGCGGTGCTCCTTCTTTATCGGTGTCGGTCTCTGTGGAGCTCTCCTTGAAAGGACAGCTCTCCTTGAAAGAAGAGCAATTATCTCCATTTTGGCTATACTGGACCCTATTTCCATGTACTGATGTGTGCAGGGCTGGCTAGGCCTTTGCCTTATCCCTTCAACTGGCTGTAAGCAATGCACGTTGGTCTGGCAAGGTGCTGATGGTGGTCTTTGAAGCAAGGCAACAAGTCAGTGTTACTCCACCCCGTGGCTTCCAGAGAGCATGCGTGAATTGGGCAGGATGTTGACTGGAATCAGGCCTCAGGTGACATGCTATGACTTCCCAGGGCATAAAAAAATTATACATCAGAGCTGAAGCACCGACCCAAAACATTAGATACTGCCTCCAGCTGGCTCACTCAGATTACTCCTTCTGCATCTCCTTCTCTCTGCATATTGCAGAGCTGATTCTGGGCCTGTTATCTAGCCCAGCTCACGGCACTCACGCACTTCCCGCCGTTCTCACAGTCACTCATCTCCGAGCCACTCCCTTCCTCACGAATTAATAAAACCCAGGTTTGGCCTTTGGTCGAGGCCTTTGTTCGGGATGGCCATTATCCTAGCTGGACTTAGGACCCCTCGGCTCCCCACAACTACAAATATGCCTTGGTGTCTTTATTCTCGCCATGGGTTGTACTGGAAGTGGTAGATTGGAATTGACTCGCTAGGATTCCAATAACTTTTCCGTGGGATTACAAATGCAAACTTCCCAGACTGAGATGAGGACCGGGAAGGGCCCACTATAGTTTCCACCTCTGCTTCAGTTTGGCCCAACCCATCCAATTTTAATTACTGTTAAAATAGTCCCTCTCCAAATTATCCTTTCCTTCTTTCCTTCCTTCCTTCCTTCCTTCCTTCCTTCCTTCCTTCCTTCCTTCCTTCCTTCTTTCTTCTTTCCTTCCTTCCTTCTTTCTTCTTTCCTTCCTTCCTTTCTTTTTTTTCTCTTTCTTTCTTTCTTTCTTTCTTTCTTTCTTTCTTTCTTTCTTTCTTTCTTTTGCTTTCTTGCTTTTTTCTCTTTATTCGTTTGTCCTGGGTAGTGAACCTAGGCTCCTCACACTCAGCAATATGCCCCACCATTCTGTTGTTGCTGAGACAGCGTCTCCCTAAGTTACTAAGAAACCCAGGCCGGCCTTGAACTCATCATCTTCCCGCCTCCATTTTGTAGAGTTCTGAAATTATAGGCACAATCAATACATAATACAATGACCACTGTTAATTTCCTACCACTTTGTCTGTAACTATTGTCTGTATTGTTCTTATGCTATTTTGTAAATGGATGTCTGTTTGTTAATATGTTTTCCTTCTTTTACTTTTAAAATAAATTTTAAAAAAATTTTAAAAATGAAATTATAGACAAGAACCATTCTGCCTGGCTCTTTTGTTTTGTTTTGAGGCTAGATCTCCCTATATTGCCCAGGCTGGCCTCAAACTGCTGGGCTCAGGTGATCCTCCTGCCCCAACCTCCCAAGTGGTTCAGACTACAGGTCCACATCCAGCTTCTTGACTCTGTCCAGTTCCGAATTGCTTCCTGCTGACCTCATTCCTTCTGGGATTGTGGCACCAACTCCAACACTCCCTGCCTCCTCCCCTCCAGACTCCCCGAGGGCTCTCTCTGGGGTCTCACTGCAATAGGCTCAACACACCCACCTTTCTTCCATCACCGCTTGTTCCCAGTGGGATTTGACTGGAGGGTTCCAACAATACGATGCACGCCTGCAAATTTGCAAACAGCAATTACCTTTCTTTCTTTCTGGCTTCATCAGTGTGCCTGAAAGCTGGTGGGGAGGTGACATGGCGTCTGGGGTGTCGGATGTGGTAAACAAAGGAGTTCAGCTAGTTCTGAAACTTCCAGCATTGTCTGAGAGGCACCCTTCTGGGCTGGAAGAGAAAAGGTGGTGGCCATGCCACCTAGGGCACTAAGATTATGGGAGCAAAGATTTAAATTCTTCTTTTACAAGACAGGAAGGAAGGAAGGAAGGAAGGAAGGAAGGAAGGAAGGAAGGAAGGAAGGATTGGTAGAAGAAGAAAGAAACGAAAAAAGGAAGGAAGGAAGAAAGAGAAAGAAAGAAAGAAAGAAAGAAAGAAAGGAAGGAAGAAAAGAAAAGAAAGAAAGAGAAAGAATAGGGCAATCCATTCCTGTCTCTCAGGAGCTAGTCCTAGTCTCCATTCCTTTTCCCCAACAGATTTTTCTACTCTTATAAAAAAGGGAAGGAAAGGAAAAAGAAAGAGAAAAAGAAAAGAGAAAAGAAGGGGCAAGAAGGGTAAGAGGCAACACTTTCCAACAGCAACTTACCTTTGGCCTCCTAGGATTCTTTGTGACAGAGAGTCCCATGTCATTTGCAAATCCGCAGAAAAAGAAACCCAGGGAAGAACCTGCTCAGGGCCTGGGAACTAGAAAAACCAGTTCCAGCTTTAAGGCTGAGTCTCCCTCCCCTGCCCAGCGAAGACCCCACCCGGTGGGTCTATAACGGCCTCAGGCGAGCCCAAAATGGTTTGTTCCTGTAAGGCCCGCTGTAAACTGTAATTAAGGGGCAAAAATTTCTAGAAGCTTGTTGCAAACAGCTGAGAAACAGCTGCCTGGGATTGGGACCAGGTTAGAGGGACCAGAAGGGGCTGGCCGGGATCGTGTCCGGACAAGGCCAACAGGATTCCTCAGGAGGTGGCCTCATTTATTGTTTTTGCAAAGCTGCAAGCTATTGGGCCAAGACAAAGAACTTAGAAGCTGCCTGTTTTCCTGCCTGTCAGAGCTCTGACACTAGGACCAGCCAGGAGAGTGATCGCACAGGGCTCCAGGGGTGGACTACCTGTCAGCTCCCCCCATTCAGAAGGTGCCTCCCCTGGCAAACTTTGGGCATCATTTGCCCGGCAGTCGAGCGGGAGACCCTGGTGGAAAGCAAGTGGGACGCAGCCAGGAGAAATGGCTGTGAGGATCTGAAAGGTGTTCGTGGTCTATGGCAGGGCTGGTAAACGTGTGAGAGCCAGACAGCGCAGTTAGGTTTTGTAGCCCGTGTGGTCTTCAAGGCAGCCAAGGCAAACACGTGAGCAACGCCTGCTGCTGTCGCCAAGACAGTGGGGCAGTAAGGGCAGAGACAGATGTGCACGAAACCGAAAATACTTATGATTTCTGCCCAGTGACAGCAGGTGTGAGCACCGCTGTACGTCCGGGCAGTGAGGTCAGGGAAGGCGGGCGCTCGCGGGAAGCAGCCCCTGGAAGACGCTCTGCTCTTTGCTCGGCTTCAGGATGGGACAATCTGCTGTCCTCCGAGATGGCAGCGCGGGCCGAGTTCTCCCCTCACCTGCAGGGCCCTGGTGGGCGCCCTTCTGGGGAAAAAAACCCCTGCTTTGCAGCCAGGAGCCCTGGGGCCTGAGCCCGTCCATGCCTTCTTCTTTCCAAGTCTCTAACCTGGCGCGTTAAAGAGAAGCGCTTGGCCTGGCCCTGTGAGCCTCACCTCTCTGGCCCACTGAGTTTCCTTCCTTCCTGCGTGCGCAGCACCCGCTTCCCACCTGCTCAGCTCGGGCTCTGCTCAGGCATCAGCTGCTTCCCCGGGAAGCTTTGCTGAAGTCCCACCGTCACCGTCGGAGCGTCTGGGTAGTGTGTCGCCCCCTGTCCTGGAGCAAGTGACTTGGCTGGACCTGAAACTCCAGCACGGGTCCAGTCTGCCTGCCGCAGTGCTCCACCAGTGCGGCTTCAGTGCACGGCTCAGAGCCTCAGCTTCTTTGTCTTTAAAATGGGGAAATAATGATCACATCACAAGGCCATGTGCAGTGCTGAGGGTCGAACCCAGGGCCTTGGGCATGTCAGGCAAGAACACCCCAGGACAGAGGCCGGGCAGGGAAGGGGCAGGGACTGCTTTGACTGCTTTGGCTGCAGACCCCTGGCCTGTCTGTTGTCTAAAGCCACTCAGCTTGTGGCACTGTACGATAGCAGCCCTGGAATAAATAGGGAGGAGTTAAAAGACATTGAATGAAAGCTTGAAGTCACTATCCTGACTCAGAGGGGCAGACAAAAACCTCCACTGCCAGGGAACAGGAATGTAGCCCCGCGCCCCATCCGTCCAAGGGTTTGGATCTAACCAACCGTGGATGAAAAAAAAAAGTTTTGTTTTTTGAACTGGTAGCCAGGAGTAATCCCAGCACTCTGAGAGGCTGAGACAGGAGGGTCACCAGTTTGAGCCCAACCTGGGCAGTTTAGTGACTTACTAAGACCCTGTCTCAAAGTTAAAATTTAAAAGAGGGGCTAGGAATGTAGTAGCTTCATGTGGAGACTCTGGGTTCAACCTCTAATACTAAAAGAAAAAAGAAAAGGCAAAAAAAACATTTAGCCGGGCGTGGTGGTGCACGCCTGTAATCCCAGCACTCGGGAGGCTGAGGCAGGAGGATCACTGCGAGTTTCAGGCCAGCCTGGGCTACAAAGTGAGCTGAAGGCCAGCCTGAATTGAATAGTGAGAACCTGTCTCAAAAAGACAAACAAAACAAAACAAAACAAAAAAAACCCCAAAAAACAAAAACCTGTTTAAGTTCTGAACATGTACATTCCTTTTTTTCTCGCATGATTTCCTAAATATTGAAACATAACAACCATGTGTGTGACATTTCCATTCTATTAGGTATTATAAGCACTTGTGATGACGTAAGAACGAGGAGGATAAACACTGCTGTGTTCCGAGGCGCTTGGGGGGCCCTGGCTGGGATGGGGGAGGGGCGGAACCGGAACCGGAACCGGAACTGGAGCCGGAACCGGAACGAGTTTCTCCAGGATAATGAGCCGTGACTGCACCTGGCACGTTGGCCCCAAACTGCAAAAATAAAATTAGTAAGATAAAAGGTCCAGAGCAGATGGTTGGTCAGCATCGTACAGCTCGAGAGCGGTCAAGATGGGGCAACCCCGCCCTGCAGGGCCACAGCTGCGCAAGGGGCATCGCAGCCCTGGGGCCCCAATGAGGAAATCGAGGCAGCCAGCTCGCCACGCCCAGGGGTTTTTTCTACCTGGAAAGCGTGAGAACTTCCGGCTCCGTGGCTTACGATGTCCTTATTCCCAGGGGCCAAGTCAGCAGGACCTCTGCTTCTAGTGGTTCACAGACCAGGGCTGGTGCAGCAGGCCGAGTCAGGCAGGTTGCCCGGTGGAGGAGGGAACAGAAGGACCGACACTGTAGACAGAGCACCAAGTCCTGCCGGGCCCTGGGTAGAGGACACAAGATGAAGTGACCAGATGGCAGGACGTGGGTGCACTGCCTTTCCGCTGGCCTGGGCCACAGGAGGGAAGAGAGATGACCTTAGGCCTCATAGAAAGTACATAGTATAGTTAATGTGTATAAGGAACAACACTCCCTTTATTTAATTTATTTATTTGTTTTGTCTTTTTGAGACAGGGTCTTGCTATGCAGTTCAGGCAGGCCTTGAGCTCACTTTGTAGCCCAGGCTGGTCTCGAATTTGCAAGAATCCTCCTGCCTCAGCCTCCTGAGTGCTGGGATTGCAGGCATGCACCACCACACCTGACTTATTTTATTTTTAAATTTTATTTCTTCTTTTTTTTTTAGATAGGGTCTCACTATGTAGTTCAGGTTGGCCCTGAACTCACTGTGTATCCCAGGCTGGCCTCCACCTCATGGTGATCCTCCTGCCTCAGCCTCCCAAGCACTGGATTATGGGAGTGGGTCCCCATGTTGGTTTGGTTTAGATTTTTGAAAAAGGATCTCACTGTGTAGCTCAGACTGGCCCTGACCTCACTATCCTCCTGCCTCAGCCTCCTGAGTGCGGGGATTACAAGCATGTGCCACTATGCCTGGTTTTTGAGTTTATTATTGTTATCATCATTATTATTTGTTGTTGTTTTGTTGTAAATGCTTTATATTTTCTCAATGCTAAAATCCTTTCTGTGGACTGACCGTGCCCTTCCCTCAAAAGTTCACATTTGAAGCCCCAGTTTTCAGTATGATGTACTAGAGGTGGGGCCACTGGATGGTGATCAGGGTGACATGAGGTCATGAGGGTGCTGCCCCAGGACAGGATTAGTGCCCTCACCAGGAGGGGAAAGAAAGACTCCGCTCTTTCTCTGTCCCTCTCCTCTCTTCACGCAAAACCCAAATGAGCTCACAGCCAGAGGTGGTGCCCGGAATCTCAACACACCCTGGCCAGGTTGATGCCAGCTTTGGACTCCAACACTCCAGAGCTCTGGAAGGGAATGCGTGTTCCCGAAGATGCCTGGTCTGTGGGGTTTGGGGACAGCTAGCTGCTCCTGCAGCTAAGACAACCCTAGCCAGACAGTGCTTTGCAAGCATGTTCTTCATTTTCCTTCTTTTTTTTAATCCTTTGAAACGTAAGTTTTAATTTTTATTTTATTTTATTTTTTTTTGGTTTTTCTCCGGTACCGGGAACTGAACTCACGACCTTGCGCTTGCCAGGCAGGCGCTTTTGCCGCTGAGCTAAATCCCCAGGCCCGAAACATAAGTTTTTATATGATGAAATCCAATTTACCTATTTTTTGGCGAGGGGGATGTTATTTGTGTGTTTAAACGCAGTGCTTTGTGCAAAGAAAAAGATGCACCCGGTGAAGTGCGTAAACCTGTAACTCCAGCTACTCAAGAGGCTGAGGCAGGAGGTTTGCGAGTTGGAGGTTGGCCTAGGCATTGATTTTGTTTTTTGTTTTTGTTTTTTTTGTTGTTGTTGTTTTGAGATAGGGTCTCGCTATGCAGTTCAGGCTGGCCTTGAGCTCACTTTGTAGCCCAGGCTGGTCTCAAACTCGCAAGGATCCTCCTGCCTCAGCTTACCAAGTGCTGGGATTACAAGCGTGTGCCACCATGCCAGGCTGGCCTAGGCATTGAGACCCTATCTTAAAAAGAATTAAAAAGGGGTTGGCACTGGGGATGTAACTCAGTGATAGAGCACTCGCTGCGTCTAAGGGTCTGGGCTTAACCCTGAGGAACAGACAAACAGAAAAAGATCTAGACATTATATGTTTATTCCCGTAGCAGCTACATTCCTGTCCTCAGGGAGTGAACATTCAATTACCACCCTACAGGGTTTAACCCTAACTCTAAAACACCTTTGATTTCCTCTTTGGCCTCCGCTCAGCTTGCTGAGCAGTGCTTGCTGTTAGGATGGCCCTGAGCTCCAGAACAGCGCTGAAGCCCAGCGGGCGGACCCATCACTTCAGTGTGCACGGAAATTCTAACAGGAGTGGCCAGCCGATGGGTTTTGCATCTTCTGGCTCCCTGGCTGACTCTGCCAGCCGAGTTCATAAGCCCAGAACAAGCCCTGCCCCGGTGTGGGGGGCGGGGTCGTCCCCTCCGGAAGCTGGTTCCAGGGGTGCTCTCGATGAGTATGGCATGGGAGAAGCTGCCACCCACCCACCCGCAGGCGACAGGCCAGCACTCACCACCAACAGGAATCCAGGGTAAAGAATCCAAGCTGTTGAGGGGGAATAGCTTTTCCTCTACCCTCTCCAGTGGGGGCTTGCAAATTAAATTAACAAAAGATAGATTCACAAGAGAAAAGACACAAACGTAATTAATACAACCTGCACAAGTGTTCATAGAAAAGTGAAATTCAGACAAGCGGTTTGGCTTGGGGGCTGATGCACCGGTGTCA